TACTATCAGTGATGAAATTCTTAGTCTTCAAATGATGTCAAACAGAACAGAGCACTAGGCACTAAGAACTGGGCACTAAGGCCTCTATTTTGAAATTTGCTATAATTTAAAGTACTTACTCCCATCAGCAAAGAAAATATCCATGTTTTGTAACTAAAGCAAGGATGCAGCCTCTTTGACAGCTGAAGGTCACTGGATTTGATATCTGGTATATAATTTCCATTCTCTTGTTTTCCCCGCTCCAAAGTTGGCATCCTGTCATAGCTAAATTCTTCTCTGTAACCTTCTTCCCTGGTCATAACACTTCACAAAGGCAATTAAATAATAATAATGCAAGTTACAAAGAAAGAGAAAAAAAATATAATTTAGACCCTTCACATACCAAAATCAGTGTTCAACTAGGTTTTTTTGTATTCAAGACGAAATGAATAAACACAATGTTTAGCTACTGTATGTATTTACATCTCAAAATATGTAAACTTTCTAACAACTTACTTGCACACCTTAACTAAATTTCATCCTACAGCCACAGTTCATAATGACATAATAAAAGTACCAACATATTTAAAGTTTGTGTATCTATGATACCTCAGAAAATTTCTATATCAAGATCTAAGAACCAGTTTTAGAGGTGTTTAGTTAGTGCATACCTCTATAACCAAAGCTTTTTTCTTTTTCAACTCTAGGACAGCAAAGAAAATCAAACAGGTTTCAATATAAATTGCATTTGATTTCAACACTTTTTATCAGCTATCTAAAATGACAGACTTCCCTATGAGTCCCATGAACACACACACCCACAATAACTCAGCTACAGCAAACTGTTTCTAATTTACCCTGTACCAACCATTTCTCTTGTTCACTTCATCCTTTTTTGCTCACCTCTCTGCTTCCCAACCTCTTAAAATACCACAAGGAGCATCTTATATTAGAATTAAGGTACTGTAGATTTTTCAGCAGTTAAAAACCTTGGTGCTTACCTTCCACTGAAAAGTGAACTGTCAGTTTAAAGCAGCCCTGTGAACACAGCTGCCTGTACACTTTGTGATATTCTCACCGTTCAGTGAGTCATGCCGGCTTTGAAAAGTTCTCCCTTACACTTTGGCTTTCAACAACATCTATTCAGATATGGAACAAAAGCACAGCAAGAACTTCAGTTAAGCCAGGGAACAGGAAAATGCCTCCTGAATTTTAATTAAGAGAACACACTAGAAAATGACTGTACTACATCTCATAGGGCTGCCTCCAAATCAGACCAACAAATTAAAAGTTTCATGTCCCTTTTTTATTTGAGTACTACCCCTTACTTAGCATCTTAAATAAAAGTTTCCTCACTTTTCCACTTTTGGCTGTCATAATACCAAGTGATCACAATATCTAACAAATGAGCTCTTGTTTCAAAAGAGCAAAATGCACATACAATGCGATATTCTCCTAGAAAAAAAAACTACAGATAAAAGTTCAACTATTACAGTATCACAACAAGATGAGAAGCTCAAAAGTTAGAGGTTAGAAATCTATCAAGATTATTATTTTCACTGTAGAACACTCCTCTTTTTCCACTAACCCCAGTTTTCTGGAGTGCTCAGACAAAGCTGGCACATTTCAATCGTGCCGTCACTCTCACTCACAGAGCACCCAGATGACCAAACAACATATTTTCAGCCCAGCAGGCAGCAGTGACATGCAATGGCCAGCGTACCTTGGACCCAGTCCTCCTGCTTATTAAGCAATGAAAAGAGGGAAAAAAAGGACGTTTTTATCTTGAAGATGTTGGCACCTTGACAGCTACAGCAATGACAGGGTCTTTTGTCTAAACTTTAAACACTCTTGTAACCAAGACACAATTAAATCTTCAGTATTCTGAAGGGCATCACCTTCAAAGTATGCTAGAAAAACTTCTGAACAGCACAACTTCTCAGTTTGTACAAAGTGTAGATTTTCCTTTTTTCATAATGTCAGCCAATACTGAAAGATTATGAAAATGTTACAGTTGTTTTAATAGATTTAAACAGAGGAATTAGTACACCATACATAGCAATGGACACATCTGTAAACTGTGCTAGAAAAGAGGGGAAAAAAGATTGCAGAGTCAAGCAGAACTTTCTGAAGTAATTAAGCCTTACTGTTCCTCTGCTCATGGAAGAAACACTGCACAACTATTTCCATTATCTGCAACTTTCCAAAGACCATGGTTTAATGGAAAATGGGTATTGTTTATCTGACAGCTTTTTCAGTGAGTACTAGGAACTGATTGACACAAATTACCATAGACACAAAACACAATCATATTTTAACCCTTTTGATCAGTTTAGGGAGAAGGTTTGTGGGGAGTTTTTTTGTTTTGTTTTGTATTGTTTATTTTTTACACAAAATTTGTGAGATAGGTATTTAGTTGATCTAATCTCTTTGAACAAAAAGAATTTATAAAGTCCTGCACCACTGACCAGAGCAGAATTCAAACCCTAGAACAACTTGTTTACAGTTCCAAGTGTTTCAGCCAGTATTGTACCTGAAAGTTCCCTCTCTCAAGCATGGTTATACAGTGTTTTCTCAGGTTATTGTGAAATTCCTCCTACCCCCTTTCCTGTGTACTTCTCAGTATTTCCCATTTCCCTTTTGCACAGAGGTTCATTGCATAATTAATGCATCCTCTGCACTTGGCATCAGCATGAACAAAAAACACTTAAACTTCAAAGTTCAGTTTCTACTCTAAAAATTTTCTGAGGCCTTTATTTTAGGTTCCCTTCATCTCATGTTCCTGATTGCAGAAAAAGTCTCTTTTTTGTGCAAGATCAGAACCCAAGTCGTTGACTAAGACCTTCTAATACTAGATAAGGTACAAATGTGGTGTACAAAGAGATTCCTCCTAATTCTAAAGAATGCATAGGAATGTTCCACAAAGACTGCAGCAAGTATAACAATTGGAACACAACATGAGAAGCTTCTGAAAAGGATTTACAAATTAAGAGTTTTAATTTTAAATTAGGCCAAAAGATGTCAAGGGATGACAATTAAATCAAATAATGAGCAGCTATGAATAACATCATACTTCCACCGCAGGACTGACCACTGAATAAATGCAGCTGCCTGAAGCAGCTATAGCAGATACTTGGTCATTTGCCACAGGCTGTGTGCAATGTGAGCATCCCCCACAGTAATGACAAAAGATAAAAACCAGATTACCAGTTATAATTCAAGTGCCAAGGGACAGTGTGACAAAAAGGTACATAAACTTGCCAGAGTCCTAGTTTTGCTAACAAGGACTAAGGAAAAAGCATTCTGTCCTGGGCCATGTTCCCTAGCCCTGAACGAAGATTCACACACACATTCCAAAATCTAAATGAACACCACACCTGAAGCTCTGGTGAAGTTTACATTTAGCATCCTGACCAACTCTTCCATTTTCTGATGAGTTAACAGCTGCAGTGTGAAAAACACTTCTGTGTTTTTTCACACAATGTTTAATTATGCTACTTTAGTTCATTACCTGTATTCCTTGTTGAGTATTTTCACCTCTTTTAAAACCAGCTCTTTAACATGTTTTTTTTCTCTGAAGCTGTTTCCTCAGTCCATGTTTCCTAGCTCATGTCCTGGGGCATGTACTGAACCAAGATCAAAATGTAGATCAAATAGTTTCAAATAGCTTCAAATCCCCCAGTATAATACTTTGGATTTAATCCTTCATTTAAAACATCATCTTTTCCAGAAACACAATCTCTTCATCCATTATATTTTTGCCAGCTAACAGTCCCCTGTCAGCACTCCCACTGGAAACTCAGTGAAAGAAAACAGTAGTTAAAATTCTTTAAATCAACGTATCCAAAAGAGGCTAAGGCTCTCTCAGCACTTTTCTAAAACCAGCGCTGACTACAGACACATTTCTCCTTCCAATGGCATCATCGCAGTTACTTCAGAATGAGACACTGGAACCCGTGTGCAGTTACTGGCAACCAGAATTTATTCTGCTCTAGGAACTGTACAGAACTCTGTAACAGTGTTAAACCATCTGAAATGCATTCCTAGCCCCTCTTTTCCTAAATAAGGCTGAGTGAACCATACAGCCAGAACCTAAAAAGTTGCCAAAGACAACTGCTGCTTTAGTCACACAATTTAGGCAGTGTATTTTGTGATTTCTATAAAAAATTACACACTGCTCTGCTCAACCTCCTGAAAGCATCTCCTGGAACAGCTTTATATGGCAGCTCCTATTCAAACTGCTTGGATGCTGAGCTCATCAACTCAAAAAACTTTGCTTTGTGAAACAGCATTTGTTGAACAAAATGCAAAGAGGCCTTATACAAGATACCTGAACTGCACTTTGTGAAGAGAACTGGTGTGAAAAACGACAATCACTTGTTTTTAAATTTTTTAAAAGTTTAATAGTAATAAAATGGTTAAAAAAATAGTGTCACAATTAGAGTAATAACAATTTGGACAAATTGAAATAAGACAATATGAGACAACAAAAACAAAGAGTTACGGACGTCCGGATACCTTTTTCTGGGCATCACGAGCTCCAGAAAGGACCCCTGTTAACAAAGGATTAACCCTTAAGAACAATAGTCCGATACATATTCATACACTTCATACATGATGCATAAATTCCATTCAAACGGAGGATTCCGTCTGGTCTTCATCAACTTCTTCCTTATAATCCTAACAGCACCTTCGAGGCGGGAAGAAGTTCGTTTCTTCTGATAAGAAGGCAACAAATTCCCTTTCTCTGAAAGATTTAGGTGTCCTGTGGCTGCTATCTTGCTGCAAGTCCTTTCTTTTAAACAAAGCATCTTACATAGCATAGTTTCTCTTTTAACAATTTTCATAACCTAAAACTATATTTAACACAGTACTTAAGAAAATTAATACAGAATTACTTTCTGACACAACACATATAATATTCATTTTAATATTTGCGAAAAGCCAATCATAAAATACATGCATTTTTCACAACTGGTAAAAAGATACAGAGATGGTAACTACACAGATAGTAAGCACAGATGGATAGTAAGCACAGAACTACAGAGACAGTAACTCTAGAACTACTGAGATAGTTTTCTAGAACTACAGAGATAATAAACAAGTCTGTAATATCGTATTTCCTCAGGCGCTACAGCAGCTCCTTTATTAATGATATCAAGTCAAAAACACCTTTTTTTCCCCCTGTTTGGCAAGTTTACCATGTTCTAGAGTTTATTCTATCATTTTGAAACTGGCTGCTACTGAGAGCATCACAATCCACCAATGTTCCACATGCATACTCTCCCAAGACCAGTGTTTCACCACGCTGGAGGGACGCGGTGCCCGGCGTATTCCGGAGCTACGGAGAGCTCAGCCCAGGGGAGGTCATAGCCGGTCCCTGGGTTCTCCCTGCTTCGGGCGCCCCATCGCAGGAACGCTTCATACCCTACGACCACCATTTCAGACAGCACCACCAGCAAGCAACAGGCTGCACACACCCTCTTCCTTTAAGCTCTTCGTGGTAGCCTCGTGCGACTCCACCTTTCCCTCGCCCTCAAGCGCAGCCGGCCGTGCACCTGCAGAGGGCAGACCCAGCAGAGGGCAGCCCCGCCCCGGCCGCTCCCTAAGGGCAGCGCTGAGGCCGGCCCGGAGCCGCCCCTGCGCGGGCCCGCGGGCGCCCCTGAGGCGCGTGGCGCTGCCGCGTGACCCGGAGCGAGCGTCGCCATTGGCCGCGGCAGCAGCGCGGGCTCGAGGCGGCCGAGGGGAGACGTCGCGCCCCGGCTGCGCCCGCAGTGCGGGTTCTGAGGCCGTCCTGGGGCTCCGGCTCCTCGTTAAGGCGCTCCGGGATGCTCTCTCTCCTTTCTAAGGCGGTCTCCTACTTCTGGAGACGCGCAGATGGTGAAGATGAGAGAGGGGCGACCTCTGGTAGGAATTCCGGGCCTGTTGTGGGTTTGTGGTGCAGCTTATGAGCCGTGAAGCGTGCTCGTCCACCACGTGGCTGGAGCTGAGTGCAGCCCTGTTTCCTTAGGAAGGGATGTAAGGAGGAGATTGAGATGATAAGGCATCATTTTAACTCCAGAGCATGTGGAAGTTTTCTCGGAAGTACTTTTTTTGCCGTTTCCTGGGTAGGACAGGTTCCTGTTGCTGCTGAGAGTATGGAGTGAGGAGTGGGACCAGTGCCCGGGCAGCCATGGGGGCCGGCCATGTCCTGCTGGGGTGCATCAGGCACTGCATCCTTGGTGCGTGAGGGAGGGATTGTCTGCTCTGCTCTGCACTGGGACAGCCTCACAATCCTCTGCACTTTCAGAGGCCTCAATACAAGACCTACATCAAACCATTACAGTGAGCCTAGTGGAGGCTCGGCAAGACGGTGAAAGGTCTCGGGGGTGTGACTGAGGAGGAGCAGCTGAGGTCACTCGGCTCTGTCGGCTTGGAGGAAAGAAAGCTGAGGTGGGACCTCACCACAGCCCACACCTTCGGGAGGGTGCTGGTCTCCTATCTCCGAGTACCAGTGACAGGGCGCAAGGACATGGAAGGAAACTGCATCAGGGGAAGTTTAAATTGGACAGTGGGGAAAGGCTCCTCACTGGCAGGGTGGTAGTCACTGGAACAGGCTTCCCAGGAAAGGCACCAAGTCTGTCAGAGTTAAGGGGCGTCTGGATCATGTGCTGAGTCATATTGTTTAGTTTTAGGTCACCCTGTGAGGAGCAGAGAGTTAGACCCCCATGATTCTTATGGGTCACTTCAGTGTGAGATATTCTATTAATCTATTTTTTTAAATAGAGCTTAAAGCATGTTGGTTTTAAAATGTTTGTATTTAACTAGCTTTCTTAATTGGTTGAAACAATAAATTGCCATAAGATTCAAGACTTAATTGTGAAAATAATTAGTTGGCAGCTGTTACTATTTCCAGTTGGCCTTTTGATAGAATGTCCCTTTTAGTAGCCTTCATAACTTTTTGCATAGTTCTATAAACAAATGATTTGGGTTTATGTCAACACTTTGACTTTTGATGCAGATGAAAAAGCATTGAAAACAGTACAAGGAGTAGTGACAAGACTTTGCCATGATTATGGGATGATAGATGACACAATAGTCTTCACAAAGGATGCTGTTACAAAAAACATGTTGCTGGCTGTTGGACAAGAAGTTATTGCCACTGTGGAAGAGGATAAAACATCAGGTGGCCTGAAGGCTGTCAGGGTAAGAGGTGAAGATAAATAGTAGTCTCACTTTCTCCATGAGTATCTTGAGGCTTTGTTTTGGAAGTTACTATAGTTTTAGCCTTACAAATTCTACAAAATAGGAGAAATTGCAAGCTGTTCACCTAGAGGGGATAAGCTGGGGGTTGTGGGTCATTTTATTGTTTCATTCCATTGCCTTTCAAGCTATGTTTAATACTGATTCTCTGAATACAGGTGTAGATGTAGTGAATAAGAAGCTATTACTTGAGATTATCAGGTCAAAATTTTAGTCATAGCTACTCCAGATCTGTATAACTTTTCCAAGAACATAAAAACCTAAACCATTCTGTACTTTGTGATGTGTTGCCTTACCTTTCATGTAGTGGCACAAACTTGAGATACTCTGAACATTTGATAAAAACAGACAACAGTATTTGAATTGTCGTTGTTTTGCATGGTAGAGAATTAAGTCCCTTTTCAAACCCCTAGTTAGAGGAGAAAATTTAGCTTCCTAACAAGCATAATTAATAACTACTATACAAAAAGATACTTGAATACCAGTACTGTCTTCCAAATAGTTGAGATGTTACCACTTAACTTGGGGTTTTAAGTGATCTAAAAGGTACTCCTCTATTGCAGACAGAAGCTCTGAAGCCTGGACACTGCCAATGCAGTTTGGGGCAGAATCTGGAAGGTGCAGTTCAGACTTTGGTGGTGTCAGTGTGTTTATGTTACTTGGTCAACTCTCTGCTCAGTGTGCTGTTTCAGCTGCTGTTTGGAAAGATCCTGGCTCCAAAGTTTGGATCTCAGTTTATTTGAGGTCCAGTCCTAATTAAACTCTGCATGGAATGATTATAGGTTTGTAGCAGGCTTTAAAAACAGGCTGCTACCAGTGGTAGCAGGAAGGCCTTTTTAACCCAGTATGAGAAAGAACTTTAGTTTTATTGGTAGAGAAAAATTGAGAAGTATCAAAAGAAAATGTATGTTGGGAGTTTTAAGGTGTTATCATGTCTTAAAAACATTTCTTTAGGTCTACAAATTACTTTCAAGTGTAAGTGCATGTGTAGTTTGCATGAAGTGTCAATGTACTAATATTCTGAGGAACAGTTTGCTTATTCGTGTTCTATCCAAATGAAGCCATAAAGAGCACTTTGGAGAAAGTTTGATATTCTTAGATCTTCCTAGTGAATGGGAAGATACATCTGTCAGACTGGAACAAAGTATAGATTTTCCTTTAATTTTTTTACAGTAACTTTTCATGTTGTCAAGTATTATGTAATAGTAACTCTTTTAATGCAATAAAACAGTATTGGCTAAAAACAAAATAGCTATTTATAATCAACTAGTGTTTACAAACCTCAGAAGTATAGGTGGACTTACACTATTCATTACTATTGCAAATGGTAAGCATTATGTTCAACAAAATAAATCATAAAATTTAGTATGATAGTATGCTTCAGATTGGATCAGACTTCAGTAAACTTATATCTGAGGTGGTGATATGAAGAGTCTGTTAGAAGCTGCTCTAGGGGTTTTCTTAATCAAATTACTAGAAAGTGACAGGGTCAGTCTGTATATAAATACATGTAGTGTTTATAAATACCATCTTGAAAACATATTTTTTGCTTTCTGAAATAGTCATTTTCTACTTCCAGTTTTGTACAGACAGATTGCTGGATATGGTGTTCCTGTCAATTGAAAAATCTTAAGTAGACCTAGAGCAAGGGAGGTATGAGAAAGTTTGAAAAATCAGCATGTAATTTTAGCAGTTGTCAGTACTGCAGTATGCATTGCTCTTTAAAAGAGAAGTTTTAGAGTTTCTCTTTAAAAGAGAAGTTACTGTTTATTATTTACTCTTTTTGTGTCCAAAAAGTAACAGCTATAGTAAGTAATTGTGTAGTAAGAAGCTTTGTCTCCATTAGCAATTGAAATTTTGTATATTTATTGTAGGAATATGTATTTAATTCTAAGTGTCAACTGTTTAAATGTTTGGGTTATTTTTGTATTAATAGGTAGACACCATCCAGAGTACCCAAGAAGAGTCCAGTCCTACTTATGATGCCTCTGAACTAAATCAGAAAACATTAATTGGCAGTATTACCTCTCTCTCTGTGGATGGTGGCTATATTAATCAGAATACATACTTTGCAATGCAAAACGTCTGGGAAGGTGTGTAGGGACTTCTTGTTTCCTCTTTCTTAATAATTTTGTGTACACAATAGAAATATCTTCTGACAAACTTGCAGTTGTCATCCCAAATAAATTCTAATGGAATATGCAGTGAAACATAGTGAAACAGCCAGGCATGGATGGAGAAATCTGCCTGTGCATTCTCACTGAGCACAGCCTGCATTTAAGCATAAGTTACATGTTAGCAGGTGGATTTTTCAACTTGCATCTCCTATGTAGTTTGCCACAACCTGCAAAGCAAAGGACAGCAAAGAAAACTTTGGACTCAGTGGGTCTGAATAATGCATTGTTCTGGCTTTTATTTAACTTGCACTAATTCTGTAGTGGAGTAGTGTAAATGGTATCAATAGTAATTAACCTTGAGAAATGTTCTGTTTTGTATAGATTTCAAACCTTGTGAAGGGGACTGGGTGCAAGCTAAATATTATATTAACTCGACAACATGGAAGACTGAGGCAGTTGCTGTAAGGCCTTTGAGGTATAAACAAGTAAACAAGGTAAATGTTCTGCACATTGTTTTTGGCAATAGGAATCCTGGGTGAAGTGGGGTTTCAAATTGGTTTCAGTTACAAATATTGGTAGATCTTCTATAAAACATCTTTAATTGAAAGATAAAATGTATTAATTCATCCGTTTAGAGCATGTGTGTAAAATAATTTTGTTTAAAATAATAATTTTGAAAATGCATACATAACTTTCATTGAACAGAAAGAGTTACTAACTTAACTATTATGAATTGCTGGTTTGAATTCTTGCTATTAGTTATAATGAGGATGTGTCATGATTGGCAATTTATTAAGTTTAATTTATTCAGGTGTTTCAGCTTAAAAACAACCACAGTCGTCTCTTTTTATTTTAATGAAAACATTTGTTTGCTCTGGTAATGCATATGCTATGCTAGGTTTGTGGTTTATTGTCTTTGTCTTAACTCTATATATTGAATATTTGCACATCAAGCATAGGGGAAAAATTGTTTCATTACTGCTAGTATGGAAGTATTAATTAGTTAAGTTGACATGTCACAAGAAAGGTGTCATGGTTAAGTCTAGTGTCATGTAGCATGCACTTCAGTGGAACTTAATGCTTATGTGAAGCACTTGTGTTTCTTTACTCTTCTAAATCTGAAAGCAGGCACAGTGATTCTGGGTTAGGGCTCTGTGTTTATCTCCTATGAATAACTGAAATTTCAGAATGCATTTTTCTTGATGCTAGAAGGGCTGCTTCAGGTGAAAAATAGTATGTGTGTTAGTTTAAACAGATAATATCAAGTGACAGTGAATACAAACAATTACAGGTTCGCATTTCCAGCATCTGTGGCAGAGCTGGGACAATAGATGACAGTATATTTTTCACTTTGGATTCACTGAGACTTCCTGATGGCTACCTACCTCGGAGACATGATCTAGTGAACACGATTGTGGTGGAGAGCAGCCAGTCCTGTTACGTTTGGAGAGCTCTCTGCTTGGTGCCAGTCAGCCAGGATGGGTAACATTACTTTGTTCTCTTTTTAGCAGTTAGAGACCTGGTGTAGCTATGTACTTGACATTTTATTGCATCTGTTCAGCAAGAAATACTGTGACTATTTCCCTAGGTGACTAGAAGGCATAATAGACCATTGGTAAAATCAGAGCATGAGATGGTTTGGCCCTTGTTTGGGTTTTTATCTCCTTCCAGAAGGTGGGAACATGAGTGCTACTAGAGAAGCAAAACAAGTAGCAGCTGCTCTCAGGGATATTGCTAGGCAGGGAAGGAGTTTTTTATGTATGTTAGTAAAATGCCAAGTTCATTGTGCTCCTCTAGTAGGGACTACACTGTTTGAAAACAAATCACAGCAAAATTCATATAAAATACATGTTTCTTTAATCTATTTGTCTCAAGTTACAGTGATTGTTCAGATATCTGTCCTAAAAGGAAAAGTTTCATGGTCTAAATAATGGATTAATTCAACCTGCAAGTATTGATCTGAGAGGTTCTGCAGGGCCTTTAGATGTTAAATGTGGTATGAGGAGGATTTGGATACACTGCAGAAGAGGTTGAAAAAAGTAGGTGAGCCTCAGTACGGAGAAGAAATAAAACTTAAGGAAAATAACTACACAAAAGTAAAATGGGCAACAGGTCAATAACGGACCTCAGCAAAGATCTGGAATTTGACTTTGGAGTTTAAGTGTCTGTACTGTGAAACACACAGTTACCACCTGAATAAATTGATATTTTAACTGTAAAATCACTTTCCATGCTGAGGTCTTGGCAGGATTACATAGTTTAACTCTGCTGGCCAAAAATAAATTGTCAGTTGGAAAGTCCAAGGGGAGAGCAAAAGGACATTCTGATATCTTTCAGACATCATCTTTGGGAGATCTCTAGGAAATTTAGCCAAGGCCATATGGCCATATATGTGTCTTCAAAGGATCTACAAAGAATGATATAAGCTGTTTTGTTTTCTCTAGAGATAACAGATATAGTAAGTTGCACCTAAATGAAACTTGAAGTGTTTACATGATTTTGCAAAACAGTACGAATTGTTCATAATTTGTTTTTTCCAGTTGCACCTATTTTTAATTATGCATTTTATATAGAAAATTATTACTGAAGCCAAATTACAAAAGTAGACCTTAGGGTTGATTTCTCAGGTTTAGTGTACATCTACCATATCAAAAACTGCAGTTTAGGCTGCAGTGGGAGACATCTAGTGGGCTTGACTAGTAAATTGATACAGCTAATGAAAAGCAGTTGACTCATTTTCTACTTCAGTATGTCAGATAACTCAGGATTAATGAGGGTGTGTACATATTAGTGAGATTATTAAAATATTTCTAAATTATTTCCATGCCACTTTATCTAAATTGATAGTTTCTTAAGTACAGAATAGGAACTATGTGGAAATTTGTTTTACAGGTAGAAGACACCAAGAGTTTAGACCTGTGCTCAGTGTTTCAGACAGGAAAGAGCACATGCATGGTTTCATAGGCCTTTTTCCTTAGTTATGTGTAATAAAAGTTTTCAAGGCTAATCTTTGGTTTTCAGCTGTTTGTTAGTTTTGTCCTCAGCTTGCTGATATCAGATAGGAACAGTAAGCAGAAGTGCATAGGGTGAAACACTTCAGTCTAGTCATTTTATCTCTTAGCTGCAGTGCTAATGATGACTCTTGCTAAGGAGCTGCTCTTTGTTGTGTCTTTGTTCAGCTCCCAAAGAGAACCATGAAAATGAAATTCCTTCACTCACCATTTGATTTAGTTCTTTAGCAGGGATTTGTTAACTCCTCCAATCATTTTAGTCTTGCATCCAAAGTTTTATGCTGGTTTACTGTGCTGCTGACAAAAGACTTGTTGCTGCTTAAATTACTTAATCTAATTTTCTCGGAAGTATAAATGGCTGAGAAAACAAATGAACTATCTCACCTGCTTGTTTCTAAATATTGTGACTGTGCCTTGGTATAGTTTCCTGAACTTGTGCTGAGTCAAAAATATTTCCTGAGGCTATTAGTGTTTAAAAACTGCTACTTAAAATTATTTTTGCAGACAGTCTCACTCTAATGAAAGTAATGTGGATGAACCTTATGAAGACATAATGAGAGACAAAGGAGAGTTGAAAGTATCAAGAATGACTGACTTTGGAACTCTGAAGCAGGGGGAATCTAAAAGAATGATGGTCTGGATAGAGTAAGCCTTTCTGATTGTTTGAAGATTTCTTTATTTCTATCACTCTATCTGTTAACCTGTTTTACATTCAGAAGTCTCTTCTAGTTGAGCCTTGTGGTTTGTGTTATTTAATAACCTCCAGATACTATGGAATTAAATTCACACTGAATTTCATGTCTGTAGGATAGCCTTTTTGATACTGAGCATTTATCTTGCAGACAGTGTTTTGAGACTCTCCAGTTCTGTATCTCTTTTCAATCCTAGTAAAATCCTTCCTAGAGCAAGGATTGAAGCAACAGCTTTTACTGTGTGTTTAACTTAAGCTGCAGATACTCTGCCATCTTCAAAATCTTAGAACAAGAGGACTGTTGCATATTTGTGTATTAAAAGCAGAACAGATTTTTTTTTTCTGTTTTTTTTTCTTTTTTTTGTGAACTTGGATGCTGAAGAACTATGTCAGTGTATCCTTAGGAGGGTTTTGTTTTGGTGGTGGGGGTTTTTGGGGGGGTTGGTTGGTTGGAGTTGTTTGTGTGTGGGGTTTTTTTCACATCTGGGCCTCAAGGCTTAAATGAAGCCAAACCTGCATATCCATTCTTTGTTATTCTGTGTTCTTTCCTCAGAGGTGGTTACCCAATGATGAACTTTGGGCTCCCATTGTTTATATTACACATGGTATTTGTAGATGCTTTATATGGTAGTTGATGCAACCTAGAAATATTAACATAAAGCAGAGGTTCTGGTCCTCATTAGTTAGAAGCAGCAGTGCAATTTCTTTCTGATAGCAGTTATGAAATAAGGGGAACTAACCTGCTGCAGACAATTGGATTTGACTTCAGGTAGAAATAAACTTCTCAAGAACATTCACCCTGCACTTAATTATGTAACTAATCAAATAACTACTTCTAGGAATAAAGGGAGCATACCACAGTCCTTAATCAGCTGCAGATTAGCAGGATGGGTGAAAGACAAGCAATTCAGTATTGAGATTCCTCAAAACTGTGAAAACAGTCCATCTTTTCCAATAAATCAAGAAAACCTCTCAAAAGCTGCAATTAATTCATTTAACAACAGTGAAGGAACAACATGTGAGTCATTGAACCATACATCCATTATGAAGAATGGAGTCATTCCAGGTACAGTGAAATGAGTGTTTGAGTGCTGAATGTTAGCTCCTCAGGAGACCAGTAGGTTTGTTTGAGAAGATTTGCCTGTGTTAGCAATAGAAATTGTGATAACAAAGTTTATTGTTATACATTTACTCCAGAAGGAATTAATTTTCAAGATACAAATTTATCAAGGACAAAGGAAAACAATTCCTTGGTGAAAGATGAAAATATGCAAAATGGAGAAAGTGAACAAAAAGACCATGTGGAGCAACCAACTAAGCACAGCAATATTACTCCAGAAATTGTGATAGCACCAGGTGAAAAAATATCCATAGTGATCATATGCACAGCTGTGTAAGTATTTCTTTCCATTATTTCTAACCAATACAATGCCAGGAAGTAATGAAAATAGACTTAGCAGTTCTGTTTCTGAGCAGTTTTCTTCTTGGCATGTTGTGCTTTAACCCCAGCTGGCAGCTGATCCCCATTCAGCTGCTTGCTCACTTCTTCCAGTGGGACTGTGGGGACGATGGGAAGAGTAAAAGTGAGAAAACTCATGTGTTGATATAAAGAGAATTGATAAGGTAAAGCAAAAGCCACTATCAGAAGCAAAGTAAAACAAGGAATACATTCACTTCCATGGGCAGACAGGTGTTCAGCCATCCCCAGCACAGCACGGCTCCATCACACATGATGGTGACTTGGGAAGACAAATGCTGTCACTCAGAATGTCCTCCCTTCTTCCTTCCCCCAGCTTTATGTACTGAGCATGATGCCCTATGCTGTGGAATATCCAGTTGGTGTCAGCTGTCCTGCCTGTGTCCCTTTCCAACTCCTTGTGCACCCCTGGACTCCTCACTGGTGGGACAGTATGAGAAGGGGAAAAGGCCTTGACTCTGTGCAAGCCTTTTTCAACACTGTAGAAACATCCCTGTGCTATCAACACTCTTGAGCACAGATCCAAGCCACAGCCCCATACTAGCTACTATGAAGAAAATTAACACTACCACAGTCAAAACAGGCACATGGTGTAGTATAAAGTAAGCCAATACATATTAGCAAAGCATCTGGAAATGTATGTGACTCTGAAAGTAGTTACCATTTCACTGCTTGATTCTGAATTTTTATTGAAAGAAAATTGTAGTAGCTAATGAAACAATATGAGTGGGAGTAGGTTGCATCTCTAAAATGACACAGTGAGGTGAGGATAATGCCTGCAAATGGATATATTCTTAGTAGTAAATCCATTGCTCCATGAGCACTAGAGCTAATGCAAATTTCCTCTGTTATGTCTGATGCATTTCTTCTAGTCTTTAGTATCTCATATTGCTACATGCCCTGATCTCAAGTTTTCTTGTTCTGTGATGGGAAATTCAAGTTATGTATGCTGAAATGGAAAAGAAAATGCTTTCTTCACTGAAGGTGTAATTCACAGAGGAAGTGGTTTGCAAATCTTAGAAAACCCCTGAAAAACAAAAAATACTCAGCTGCACAAAATACCTTCTTCATTTAGTTAAGAATGGAAAGTGGCTTTGTGGGAGCTCCTGCATTCAAGTAGGAGTATTACATTTGTGTAACTTTCACTCACTTCCAGCTGTAGCTCTACAGACTTTGTGTTCCACAGCCATTAATTCCTAGGATGGTAAAGGAATAGTTGGACAGAGGAAAATAAGGTTTCATTCATTGAAGTAATGCTGCAATAATATTCACACTACTTCTCATTTTAAATAGTGAAGTAAAAGGGTAAAAAATTTCTTAGGAGGATGATTTAGCTCTAGTTTGAAAGATAGAGCTGCAGGCATGGCTTGCCTTCATGGGGATAGACATGTAGAAAGGATGATTTATATTTCGCTGTAAAGCCATAAAAGACACAAAGTCTTAGAGTCTTCTAAGAATACAGAATAAGCCACACAAAGCTTCATGGGAGGCTGCAGCATGAAGTTAACAAGGGTTAACTGGGTTTGCTGGCCACTTAAGAGGCCAGAGAGACTGCAAATGTAGACCATAAATTTGGACAGTTTGGTGTCTATTTTGAGTTTTTATGTCAGAGAAAACCAGGATATAGTTTTAACCTGAGCAGATGGTCTTAGTTGGCAAAAGTGGTTTTCCTACCAAAGAGAAGGTAAGCTGGAATTCTTCTGGATGCATTTGTTTCTATCACTTGGTAGCAGTGTTGGACCATGTAGTTAGGGAATTGCACTGTAGCAGTGCTTAGGTTTCATAAAAACCAATCTGAACAAACCTCCTGTTTTTGTCCCATGTGTCACTGCCCAAGCAACACTTGCGCATATAAAGTATGTTTTCCAGATTTAAAGGATTTTTCCTGCTTTCTCCGTTCATGTCTTTAAGTTAGGGTTCAGTTCTGAGTAGCCTTTCACAAGGTGCTGCAGAGCAGTTACTGCAGACAGTGAAGGGATTTGCTTCAGGTTCCTCTGTTGGACTTGTTTGGGTCTTCTTTTGCAGTAGCAGTAATTCCAAGATGTTCCTTGTAACAGAAGTATTAATTCTATGCCCTAGTAGGTTGAGTGGAGGGATTTTGCATTTTACCCAAGATTTTGATGAAATTGTGGGGTTGAGATTTTTTGCTGGGGTTTTGAGTTGGTATTTTTGGTTGAGTGGGGTGGGTGGGTTTTTTTAATTTTTTGGGATACCTGGATTGAACTTGACGTGGGGGAGCATTGACGAATTACCCTAAATTAGCAATTCTCATATATAACTGAAATGATATTTTATCTCATGGCTGGGGAAAATGAAGTGTGACCATGTTGGTTTTAAGAAGATAACTTCTGTTTACTTGAAGGATTCATGGGTACAGTAAAGAGCTCCTGCTGCTTGGCTTTTCTGATTTTACTGTTGGCCGCTATGTTGAAGCCACTGTAACAAATGAAGAAGAATTACTTATAGCACCTGTACAACCTTATTCTCCAGGAAAGCCTAAAAATATTCCAGATTCTCAGCTAAGGAAGACAACAGTGGCTGCCCCTAAACAAAAAAGGTACTGTCACTTTGAGCATAAAATAATACTTACCCAACACTGCTCTGTTTGGTATTGTTATATCTGTTTTGTAATGCTGAGAAAGAAAATGTGAAACTGGGAGAATCTCTACATGTTTTTGCATATGCACGTGTATATTGTAAACAAGATGGTTGTGGACGTTTCTGATAGAAGAGGTTGTTTAGTAATTAACTGCTTGATTTCTTTGTAGGTTTTTCAAACAGAATTTCTAATGTGTAGTGTGGTAATAAGATAAAGCACTGTTTCTTATCTACTTAGTAACAATTGTGTTATTATGGAAAAAATTAGATACTGAGAATAGTTTTCTGAGATAATAAGCTTCTTAATTCTTTACACAACTTTAATGTCTACATCTGACTAATGTCTCCCATCTTTCATTCAAAACTTTTGTTGGTGGTTGTCCATCTTTCTTATTGATGTAGGTCTCTCTTCAGCACTGCTCTGCATCTGAGGAAGTCCTCAGCTCCTCCCTATTTAGTATCATTGGCAGACTTACTCAGCATACCTTCAAATGTGGCTTCCAAGTCATCTGAGAGGATGCTGAAGAAAACTAGCCCTAAGGTGGAGCCCAGTGAAACCCCACTAGGTCACCAGTCAGATGTCACCCCCTTCACTGTAACCCTTTATGCCCAACCTGTGAGCCAGCTGCTCACTGTCACATTATGTGTTTGTCCAGCTGTGGGCTGGATATTTTGTCCTGAAGGATCCTCTGAGACACGGTATCTAAAGCTTTACTGTCTTGTGATGACATCAACCAGGCCTTTGAGTATTCAGATGAATACCATCAGGTCCCATAGACTTACAGCAATCCAGCAGGAGCAGCAAATCCTGCAGAAGTTCAGGTTCAACTTGGAGTTTATCGTTCTCAGTCATGACTCTCCAGCTAAGGGCACTGACACTCCCTTAGCCCCTCATTGATGTTGAGGACAGAGGCAAAGAAAGCATTAAACATCTCAACTTTGTCTGTGTCCCTGTGTGTGAGGTGACCATCCTCATCCTGTAATAGGCCAATAGTACTTTTTGCTGTTGGCATATTTTTAAAACATTTTTGTTGTCTCCCACAGTACTGGACAGCTTCACCTTCAATTGAGCTTTGGCCATGTGCATTTTTTCCCTATAGCGTCAAGGAGCATTTTCATAAGATCGCTTACCTTTCTTCCCAGTATAACAAACTTCTCAGTTGTCCCTTTGAAGGAGTCACTAGTCTGTTGTGTGTGTGTTTATAGTCTTAGTGATGTGGCATGTTAATCAGCTGTTTTTTACATACATTACTTAAGCAAGCTAAATGTTATGTTGTACATTTTCATTTTAGAAATAAGAGAAGGTGGTGTTCAAACTTTCTCCCGCATTTTACCATACCAGATGAGTTAAGAAAATGTGTGGAGCAGCAATTAGACATACTGACCTTTCAGCCCCTCCTAGCAGAGGTATGTAAGTGTAGGTTTTATATAAAAAATATTTTTTGATAGGGTGTTTTTGTTCAAGCACCTTTAACTTAGGAAGAATGTATAGTCCTTAGTGTAAGAGAAGATGACATAACACTTGTCAGGTAGACTTAAACTTCAGTTTGGATCCCATAACTTCCATGGGTTTCAGTATGTTACAGAATCCAAGCTTACAAAAGCATAAATGGGAAAATCTGAAAAGAGACTTGAAGTGTATTGGGGGCGGATATCACAGAAGCTGAACGAAGATTTCTCTGTATTCTCACTTTTTAGGCATCACTGGAAGGGGTTTTTTGAGATGTCAGGAAAGTTGTTATTTCACAGAAAATCGCAATCTCTTGAATTACTGCAATAACAGAGGATTCTTTTCTGATTGTTAAAAATTGTTTTTGTAAACATCTTCAGATGTAATTCACTAAATCTTGTTCAAATTCTTCCGACAAGTATAGCAGTTTCAGAATACATATAAAACACCCCCCAAAAAGCTATAAAGTCTTAACAAGAGTACTACAATGATTCCTTCTCCAAAACTTTGCTCTGATTTCTGGTCAGAATATGGCTGCAGCTCACATGTTTTTATAAATTTTAAGTACTTATAAACTGGAGCTGACACTTAATTATAAAGTAAGAGGCTATATTGTCTGCTGACTAAACCTCTCACATTAAACTTGGGATCACAGTATTAAGTTAGTAGGTTAGACATCCTCTCTCAAAAAGGAAGATAAAGCTTTGTAGTGTTTATAATAATTTTACAGTGAAGACCTGCCATTAATGGTTACTTTTTTTAACCACACCCTAACCTTAGATAGAAGTTGGTGCTGTTGGAGAATACCTCTGCAGTGAGATTCGTTAAGCTCTGAGGGAGAAAATTGAGGTTCTTTGAGCTCGCCGTAAGTTGCATGATCATCAGCCAGGGCCAAGACTGACATGACTCTTTTCAGCTGTCTCTGTCCATCTGTTTAGATTTTTTGCTCTCTGGGCATAAACTGAGCCTAGAACTCAGTCTGTAGACTGCCCCTGAATCCAGATGGTGAAACTGCTGCTGTAGTAGGGAGAGGCTTGGTTAACTCATTAGCTGAGGGGCTATTGTATTTGAGCTCAAGGACTATACTAATCTCATTTTGGCTGTTAAGGAGGTTTAAAATATTATGTAGTATATGGATGCATGTATTTAGGTATCCTATGTGGCAACCCAGTTGCTGTGCAGTCTGTCTCAAGAAGTGTTTTGTTTAATGTTAGCAGTAGTGGATTCTATATCTTAGTGTACAACAATAATGTCTTCTGGGGTTTTTTTTCAGCGTCTTAATCTAGATAATTATAAAGCAAACTTTTCTACTCTTTTATGGCTTGAAGAGATCAAAGCAGAAATGGATTTAAAAGATTACTACATGAGTGGGGTTACTTTAAAAAGGAATGGGAACTTGTTAGTGCTGGAAGTGCCAGGAGTAGAAGAGGGAAGACCTCGCCTGATTCCAGGTAGAAATGAATGTGAGATAAAGTCAAATGGCATGTTGATCTATGTTTTCACAATGCAAACTGTATTGTTTATTCATTTGTTTAAAGAAGTCTTTCAGATGTTTGAGCACAAACTTATTCATTTAGGCTACAGGGGACTCAAGGACACTATGTTAGTGTCTCAGTCTTACAGTGGCTGCTATCTGAAGCAGCATTGCATGTGTCTGTTCTTACAGATGTTTCAGCACTTTAGGATTTTTCTTTTACAATAATCAGTGAGGCTTTCAGCAAAAATAAACTGTGCAATGTAGTAATAGCTTAAAAAGCAATAAGTGTAGCAAAAAGACTGGGAAAGCAGCTAAAATTAAATTTAGAATTTCAAGTAATATACAAGATAGTGTTTTCAAGAGGTGTTGTCTGATGACATCAATACTAGATACCTTTTATACTATGCAACTACATATGGCATTTCAAAACAGTACTGATGGATGCAGCAACTTTGCTGAAGTTAGCCTCTTCCAAATTCCTAGTTTAAACATGCAGGAGGGAAGGAGAAATTACATGCTGCAGTGAAAACGTTGCTATTACTTGTAACAGTATTTTGCCTTTTAACTTTGTTTTCAATTAGGTGATAAGGTGATACTGAAAAGTCAGGTCTACTCAGATCATATAATAGAGTACATTGCCTATGTCTCTGAGGTAAGCAAAGTGTTTCTCCTCTTGAAAAAACCATGGTCCATGGGTTTTATAGGGGAAGCTTGCAATTCCTGGAATTAGAGACTATTTTAACCTGACTTCTGAGAAGATAGGTTTATTCTATCTATATTTGGAATGGTGATTTTGTATTTTTTTGTATTTTTGATAACTCTGGCTTCCATATTCTTTTGAGGTTATAATCTTTGCCTGCTCTGAAAGCACTTTTAACATAATCTAGATATGTAATTTGTTGTTAGTAGGTAAATCTAGATTTACATTTTGGAGTTGGTGGGGGGTTAAGTACTTTCAGAGGTGCTTTTTTATGTTTAAAGTACTAAATCTTCATCAGTATCCTGACTTTTTTTATCTTTGTAACAGATATGTGAAGATGATGTTACTCTTAAGGTTAATGCTGACTTTGAATGTGCTTACAACTTGGAGCCCATGGATGTGGAATTTGTTCATTGCAGGTGTTTTTATAAGCTTCCAGAAAGCTGTGTTTAATGATTCCTCTAGTAAAATGACTTTTAAAATATGACCATCAGCTGTTTATTTTGGTGGACACAGAGAAATACATAGTTAAGATCTTGCCAAGTTTTTCACTTCTTTTCCTCAACCCACCTTTGCCACCATATTCATGGTTAAAAGACTTTAACTGTACAAGTGTCCAAAGAGTTGTTATCTTAATCATTTCTAGATAGCCACACCAATGCCAGATAGAAAAATGGGGAGGGATGAGGTGGGGTGTTTGGGGGTATTTTTCTTAGGTTTTGGGTGGTTTGGTTTTGTTTTTGTTTTTTTAATGTACTAATATGCCTGCAAGGCTATGCAGGAAGTAAAAGTAGCTGGTGATAATCTCCCATTCTTTTATACTTTTGTTTAATTCATGGGATGTTGTTACCTGTTTGGAGTTATATAATAAATCTTCTCTGTAAATTCAGCCTTGCAAAGAACTTCCTTGAAAGTGTTGAACACCAGGCTATCTTTGTATCACTGAAAAGCCAGAGACTATATGTGTCAATATTTTTCATAGCTAAGCTGTTTATACCTCTGCAACATATTTCTCAGTAGATTCTTTTTTTAAAAAACATACATTTTTATATAAAACCTTTATTTTTATGCACAGTAAAAAGTACCAGGTAACTCCTAGGAGTGTGCTCTCACAGTATATGGAAATGTAAGCTTTTACTTTAATTACAAATCTGTATTCTGGTTCCAGTATTCCTAGCAGGCGATGCCAGTTGGCCATTCAGCAAGCTGTGTACCTGGGTGAAAAAGGTACATTTCATTTGACTGTTAAGCTGTCTAGAGGGGTTTCTTTGTGCAGAGTTCTGTGGATTTTATTGCTTTCACATCAGGCCATACTGGGAAGAATGCATTGTAATTTGTTCTTACAGGAGTTTTCCATGCCTTAGGGGCTTTTTGTTTTGGTTTGGTTTTTAAGAAGAAAAAACAATACTGAATGTGTAGAAGGTTTTGTCAAAATTATTTCATCTGTTGGCCGTCACAGGCAGGAGGATAGGAAGCAAACTTTGTGAACTGTTAGAGCCAACAAGAAATGTAGGAATCATGCATACTGCTATAATGATAGCCAGTGAAATGGCCGTGCTTTGTATTACCTCAGAGTTTATTAAAAACCACTGATTTCCTGTTCCATGGTTGAGTTGAACAATGCATGTGAACTTAACATTATAGCACCTTAGTTCTTATAAACCAATTTTGGCAGCTCAGACTAACCTGATATATCAACAGTAAAATTAATCAGTGAAACATGCAAAGTGTTTGTTTGAAATTTCTCTACTTTCTTTTTCTCCGCTTTATTTAGTGTTATTTCCAGAAAGACTTGTGTTACAATCACCACAAGCTATCAAGACCCAGAATGCTACAGAGTATTGTGCTGTTGATGATGGCCTTAAACAACCTTCACTGCAGGAAAGTAAGGTAACTATTCTGTAAATGTTCCTTAAACTGTTCCTTCATTCAGATGGGTACCAGATACTTACTGTACAGCTATTGCCAGAAGGGACTTGAATAATGGAGTATCAAAGAATCAAAGTTGTATTCTGCTGCATTCTAATGACAGAAGTTTTTGTTTGCTGCCTGGAGATGGGAGATTTTATGACAGCTGATACTATAGAGCTTACCAAATGGAAAGTGCATATTAAAAAAATGTGTGATTGTGGTGGAAATTGTCAGATTTGCCTTAGACTAGTTTTCATAGCTACTGTTGAGTAGATATGTAAGTCCAGTCAATGTGGCAGGAAATAATTTTGTAATAGAAGAAAAATCATCCTTTTCTGAGTAGATTTACCCAGGCTTAGCTGCCACTTATAATATATTAGTAAAATGTAGAAAGGACTTTTGGAGGCTGCCTAATTCTCTTTCCTTTTTGAAGCAAGACTGTCACCAGCACTAAATCAAGTCAGCTTGGGGGCATGTGCCAGCATTTCTCTTTTTTTTGTCTAGAATTTTCTCAGTGTCTGCATAACCTGTACTTCACCACCTTTACACTCAAGATTTTTTCCTAATTCCCTAATTATTTCACCTGGAGTTTGTGCTTTACAACAAGGAGTAATCAATCAATCTGGTTTGGAATCAGTATTTTTAAGATGATGTCCAGAACCTTGCCAACACCACATTCCCTACAAGCAGTTTTCTCCTGTGCTGCCATCTAAAGGGACATGTCCACCAAGGAAGATGCATGTATCTTTCAAAGTGGTCTGGAATTTGACTGCTGTTGTGGAAGCAAACAAGTTATGTAATTGTGGCTTCAGAATCCTCATCTGAGCCTGCAGAGTATTTATGAAATAAATGTCTAATGTTAACAGAGCCAAAGTATTGGAAATCTTAAACTTAACATGGAAATTCCTGGCACCTTCTCCTACTATTCTTACCTTTCTGTCTTAACAGTAGGTATTCTATTTAATGGGAAAAAATTAAAGCTTAGCAACTTCAAAAGTATCAGGGAAGATAGTTGCCTGTCTTCATAAGGTTATAATCTTATGTTAAATCTTCACTTTCTCTTTGCAGGTCAGAAAAAAGCAGAACAAACAGACAAAAGGTATGACATCAAGGGAGGTGAACATAACAGAGGTGATGAGAGTAACTCTGCAAAAAAGCCAACTTGGTATATTTTCTGTGCTTAAATAATAAGTATCACATCAGTAAATCAGGCTCTGCCTTTAAAGACAAATTCTAGAAATACTAGCAGGAAGTTTCTATGGAGGCTGTTGGTGCATGACTTAAGCATCTCTAATTCACAGAATCTAGAATGATTTGGGTTGGAAAGGACCTTAAAGATCATTGAGTTCCAACCTCTCTGCCACGGTCAAGAGCAGCTCCCACTAGACTGAGTTGCCCAGAGTTCACCCAGGCTGGCTTTGAACACTTTACTTTGGGGGAAGGGGGAGCAAGCATCTGATGATATATTTTGTAATAAATAAATAGTTGTTTCCCAGTCATTTACTCATGACTTTTGGATCATATTCAGAGTTTTCAATTTGTTATTGGGATGCTGTTTCTCATCTTTGGAAAAGCTTTGCTAAAGATGCTAAAACTTTTTCAAGTATCCCAGATTATTCCTATGCTTTTTTTTTGAAAGTATGACTTTAAATATCATTTTAGTGAAATGCCTGAGAGGAGAGTGATCATGCCATTTTTTATCAAAAGTATTTTTAAGAATTTCTGAGAAATTACCTAGAATGCACTTCTGTCCAAAGGTTAATAAGATTCTACTGCAGAAAGCTAAAGTTAAACTAATTCAGACAGGATTAAGAAAAAAAATTCCAGCAGTTGTAGCAGAGGGCTGATCATGTAATACTGGTACCATTCTCAAAGTGCCAGTTACTGGAAGCTTCTCAAGTTTTGCTGTTCTAGGACAAGAAAGTGAACTTGATTCTAAAATTACTGAACAGATTTTTTATTGATTGTTTGGTTATGTAATCAGGGTCCTTTTCTGCTTTTCAATAAAGAGCCAGTACACTTTAGAAATATGAATGGCTTATTTTCTACTTGGTATTCAATGAAAATGGAATTTTAGAGAAATTCATTGGTTGTTACCACAAAAGGAAAACAAAAAATGTGCAGAAGCATATTGTGAATTGGAATTGTTTTAATCTACTTACATTAAAAATATATGTGAGGTTCTGAGATATGCTTGTCTCGATTACAGCTGGTGAAACTGCTGCACTGAAACAGAGAGATGGTGAATTTTTCAACCCTGTGCTGAATGTGCAACAGAAACTGGCAGTGAAAAGGATACTGAGTGGTGAATGTCGCCCAACACCTTATCTTCTCTTTGGACCACCAGGAACTGGAAAAACAGTCACAGTAATTGAAGCTATTTTACAGGTAGTAGTAAATAACAAATCAGTCATCTCTAGTCTTTTCCATGTTGGAACATTTATAGTATTTCTGTAAGTGCCAGCATATTTTTTTCCAAAGGTATTTTTCAAAATACTCTTTTAAAATAATTTTCTATAGCTCCATAAAAGGAGGAAAATCCATCTTCATATGGATTTAACAAAATTTTGAATGGCTTATTTTCAAGCCTTTTTGTCTTTAAAACTTCAGTGAACAGTATTTACCTTGTGATTCCAGTAGTGCATAATGTATTCATGAAGCACAGTGTACATTAATGTGATAATCATTAATTAGTTCTGTTATGGGTACACTCAGTTTGAGACTACTTAGTCATGACTATTGGCAGGAGCGTTACTGAGCTGCAAAAGAATGAATGGAAATCACACATGTGCAGAACTCCTCTGGGTTCTGTATTCAGTGAAATAAAATGGGAACGTTTCCACTACTGCTGCTTCTTCAATAATCTTTTTTTTAATATCTTCTTTAATGTAGATACACTTTACTCTGCCAGACAGTCGGATTTTGGTGTGTGCACCATCAAATGCTGCAACAGATCTGATTTGCTTGAGACTGCATCAAAGCAATCTCTTAAAACCAGGAACTATGGTTCGAGTTAATGCTGCCTTCAGGTCAGCAGAGGTAAATATTAGAGATGCCTGCCACTTAAGGTTTCCATTTAAATATTTTTACCTTAAAACACTGATTTAGTATTTTAACTCTCAGTGGCTATGAGGCTGCTTAGGTTTGCTTAGCATCCAGAGTATTACATTTCTTCAGCTTTTCCAGAAGATTAACTGGAAAGTTGATCATAATCCTTAATTTGATTGTATGAGCATAAGATCTTCACTTTTTTCTTGCTATGCATTACTCTACCAACAGCAAATAGGCATTGGTGGGGATTTTTGGTTTCATTTAGGTTTTTTTTGTTATCAGTCCAGGTTAAGACTGCTTGCACACAAAGTAAGCAAGTAGGATTGTGATCTCTATGCAGGACACACACCTTGTGGGTTCATTTCATATAGATACATATATATTTATACATATGTATATGAATTTACATATAAATGTGTATATATAAAGATATACATTTGTATGTATATACATATGTGTGTGTATATGTATATATGCACATATATGTTTGTGTATATATAGATGAGTACATAAAATAGCCAAAAGTTCCATTTTGATCCTTACAATAAAGCACAGATGTCTTGCATATGTACTGTTTTCTTATGAAAATTAAATTATTCATTTTGGTGTATGAATGGGTGTTAGTCTATGTGTTTTGCTTAGCTTTTAAAATAGTTTTCAGAGAGCTTTTCTATTCACATTTAAAATTTCTGGTTTAGGCTGGCAAGTTGTTTTACCTTTTTATTCAGTTTTTTTACAAGTTTTTTTTACTTTTTTTTTTCTGCAGCAAATTGATGACATGGTGAAACCTTACTGCAAAGATGGTGATGATATTCAGAAGGCATTGTGGTCCAGGATTGTAATTACAACATGCAGCAGTGCAGGATTGTTTTATCAAACAGATACACGGTACAGTACCATAGATAGCAGTATCACTGAAGTGGCTGAATGACACAAACCCCAGAGCTTTTACAGACTGTCTCACCTGTAACTTGGGCTGTTTCAATAGTTTATTGTATGAACCTGTATTGTGTTAGAGAGCAAAGCACTTGGTTTTAGTAATGTTTAAGCAGAAACTTTACTCATGGTAAATTTAAGAATTATCTTGAGAAATGTTTAAGATTTTTGAAACAATAATGTCTCCTCTGCCCTCTGTGGGAATTACATTGCTCTTGACAATCACTTTGGCTCAAAATGATTGCCACACTAAAAATTACCATGTATTTGGTTTTTATCAAGTCCCCTTTAATAACTGTAAACAACTGTCATATCCAGTTCTTTTAACCAAGGTTGTCTCTGACTTGGATTTTAATTTTGGAAAAGGACAGTCTAAAGCTTTCCTATCTCAAGTTGTTTGGCAGAAACAAAGCTTGGGGATTGTTTTTGCTGTACCAAGTGCCTTGTTTTAATTCAATATCTTAGGAATACTGAGAATAAGGGAAGCTTTTCTAACTATCTTAACGTTGCTACAATGCTTTAATTAAAGGTTGTGTATATCAGAGTATGTAAGTGAAATCAAAGAAGATAAATGAAAGTTAGGGGATTGTTTTTTCTGTATTTCCTTCTGGAAATACCCATCTTTGCTCTGTGTCTTTGGGTTGCCTGGCACACTTGACAAGGATGTTAACACAATTTCTGAGGTCAACCACAGGGTGGCAGAATGAACTAACCTGAAAACAGCCCTGTTTCAGGTTAATGTTACTTAATTATAGGCTTGGACATTTCACTCATGTGATTCTGGATGAGGCAGGTCAAGCAAGTGAACCCGAGAGTCTCATTCCTATTGGGTTGATTTCAGAAGCTGATGGACAGGTAATTCTCTTAACATCATTTACTGAAAGGGAAAAAGCTTGTTTATTATTTTCATATTTTGTGGATTATGTAGAGTGCAAGCAGCCATTTTCTGGTAATGAGTTTTTTAATAGAGATTATTCATGCATAATATCAATTCTCAACACTTAAGCAAGTTTCTTTACCTCTAGAGCAAATCTGTGCTGGGAGGACTGGGTCTGTGTGGGAGATACCACAATAAAGGATGTGTTCTGTTCTTTGCAAACAAATGTTTGAAGGAAAGCAGAATACTTGATATGAATTGATCTTTGAATTCTGAAACATGTATGTCATTTTAAAATGAAGTTTCAGTAACAATTATTTTAATCTAAAATGGATGTTTTTAAATTTCATATACAGATAATTCTCGTTGGAGATCCGAAGCAGTTAGGGCCAGTAATAAAATCTAAACTTGCACAGTCTTTTGGATTAAGTATGTCCTTGCTAGAAAGACTGTCATCAAGAGAGCTGTATCTCAGAGATGAGGATGCTTTTGGGGCCTGTGGAGCATACAATCCTTTGTTGGTGAGTTAAGCCTTCCATCAGTCTTTTTCAACTCAATCAAAAAAGGAGAACTTGTGGTTTCGTGCCACCATTTTGCTCCCTGATGCTTAATGATAAGTCTAGCTTGAGCATGAATTCTGTAGAAAAGTTTGATTAGTTTGCATATGTAGTCTGAATAGTAAAGATGCTGACTCTCCCATCATGTAAAACTTTTCTTTGCAGAGATCCTCTATTCTTAAGTATCATAAGTCAAATATGGTGCACAAATAACAGTTGTAAATAATAGCTTAAAATTCTCTTTCACATTCATAGTCCAGGTTTACCATTACTTCATTTTCCACAGATGAAAAAGTACAATTTCTGCTTTTAACATAAAAAGACAAACTGAGTATCTTCTTTGAAGATTAATTTTGCAAACATCATGTTTCACAAAGGAAAGAAGAGAAATTGTTCTTATTTCTGTATCATGTCTTCATTTGAAGGTTAGCTTCCCCAGATTTCTGTATGGGCAAGTACCTAAAATCTATGTTAAGTGGCAGAGGTAGCATAGCATTTAAACAATTCCAGATGTTTGAGCTGCTTTAATTACTGTCTGAATCCCAAATATAGGGCTGATGTTAAGCTTCCTAAGGTGCCTTCCTATTCTCATGATAACATACTTCAAAGGACTAAACTGAGAGCAAAAGATGACTAAATGACCATGGATGTAGAGAAGGGAGGAAATCTGATTTAAGGGTGAAAGTGAGGGTGTTTGGACCTAGGCTTTAGGTCAGGTTTGGCCTGCTGAAAAACCTCTCACAATTCCTCCTAAAAGCTGTTAGGGCAAACTCTGGTTGTTGTGTTCCTTACGTGGTGCTTGAGGAGAATTGGCATAGTGAGAGATCAGGAAATGGTGGAGCTTTAAGGATAGGTTTTGACTGGAATGTCCTATGTTATCCCTTTCACAGGACTGGGGTTTTTTGAGCTGGTCATTACTTTCTGGAATGCTTTCTTAAGATTATTTTTTCATTTAAAGACAAATACCTTTTAGATGTTTTAAGGCCAGCTTCTGTCAGCTGTTCCAATGCTCCCTGTTTGCCTGTCAAGACTTCTTCAAAAAAAGACATTGTATCCATTGAAATCCCATGGAAATAATCTGACTCTTAAAAAAGGAGAATGTGTCTATACATCAAATGTTTCAAGAAACTGGAGAATGTCCCATTTGTCTGTCATGTACATTCAAATCTCTTTGTTTCCCCTTTGGAAGGGAGGGAGATGGTCCTTCAAAAAACTGCTTTGGTGTACTTCTTACTTACAGAAAACCACAACTGCAGTTTTTGCCTTGAATACAGTTCTTTGGCAGCCTTAGAAATGCTAAATACTAGTGGATGGTAAGGTAGTAGCTGTGTTCTGAGAAGTCTGATGAATAAATTACCTGTTTCAGTTACAGATTTTGGATTTTGTCTTTGCAGATCACTAAACTCACAAAGAACTACAGGTCACATTCTGCATTGCTTGCCTTGCCATCTAAATTGTTTTATCATAAGGAGCTAGAAGTTTGTGCAGATACCTCAGTAGTGACTTCTTTCTTGAATTGGGAGAAATTGCCCAGGAAGGGATTTCCATTAATTTTTCATGGAATAAGGGTATGTGAAATGTTCATACAGTGAACTAAATGTATAGGCTTGCTAGCAGCTTGCTGATTTCTTTAGAATAAATTCTAGAAAGGATACGAAAAAAGCTTAATATGCCTTTCACAGGTAATGTGACTTCCTGACCATCCGGTTTTAAAAACAAATACTTAAGTCACATATTTAGTAGGAACTTGAACAGCTGCCTCTTGAAGTGCACTGTGGAGACATTGTCATAGAAGTTTAAATTCATAGCAGATGACCAGACTGATGTTACCATCAGCTGCTCTAGATTGCTTTTGATGAGAGTTTCCTACATTCAGATGGTTACAAGCCTCTAAAACTAAAGGATCATTAGAGCTTAACTTGGCAGGGGAAAAAGTAGTACCTTGAGAAAAAAAAATTCTTGAATCTTCCAAGAAGTTAGTAAGAAGTGGTAATATTTGCTGCTTAGAGAGGCTTGGTTTAGAACTCTTCCACCTTGAAAAAAGCAAGATGTCAGCTTATTAACATGTTATTCTGAGTTGAGATATAACTCCTTTGTTGCATACTTAAAATACTTTTGTTATATTGCTTATATTTATAAATGTATAAAAATATATATAAAATGTCAGGTAATACTTGTTCTCTCGAAAAGGTGTATAGAGAGGGAGAGAAATTATATATAATATTCCATCACTTTTTTTGCATTCAGGAGGTATAAGAATAATGTGTTGATAAGTACATAGTCATTTCTGCACCTGATCTCCATCATCTCATTTCCTTTCCCCCAACACAGGGCAGTGAAACCCGTGAAGGTCGCAGTCCTTCGTGGTTCAATCCAGCTGAGGCAGTCCAAGTAATGACGTACTGTTGCCAGCTGGCCAGAAGTGAATACTCTGCAGTGCCAGTGACAGACATTGGAGTGATTGCACCATACCGGAAACAGGTACAGTGTTCAACAGGCCTGATGTCTTCAGAGCCTCAGAGTTGCTGTATTCTCTGTTCTCAGCCTGTTGTCTCTGCCTGGTTAGGCATAGAATGGCCTTGGGACAACCCGCGCTCCAAAGGACGAGTGCACTCTTCAGATTTTTCGGTCTTCAATATTGTGTATTATTTCTTATCTACAAAGTTGTCTCCCAGCCTGACAGAGGTCTGACCAGCAAGACAGCCATGGACACACTGACCTCCCACTGGGCGATCGTCTATTTTTATACTAAAAACTACATATAAGATATTTACCTTTACCTTCCAATACCTTTTACCCTTATTAACAAGTGCACATTTAATGTGAACCAATCTTAAAGTGCCAGCATCACCACCAAAGATGGATGACAAGAAGAAGAGAAGAAGGACAAGGCACGCCCTAATTCCTCCATCTTGTCTCCTAAAAACCCCCCTGTACCAAAATCCCAAAACTTGTATTTTCACCCTGTGAATAATTAATTCCTTCACCACTTATCCCCAAGTGATCCTCTTGTCCTCATACAGGTGGCACATCCCGTGCAGGGTCAAAATCCAACCACCAAGCACTTCTGGCAACATTCCAGGATTTCCGAGCCCCCCGAGGGTTGTCTCGGTAACTCTGGACATCAGGAGTGATGTGCTGAGTTCCCGCACTGTATTTCATCCCATGTATTTATATATATTTATATCTCATCCCATATAGATTCGCCCTCCTGTGTTTCTTAAAGCAGGGGGGCGAATCTTAAAATTCCAGTGTGGTGTATCCTGATACACAGTGTATTATCAATCATTGCAATGATGCCATTGAAGTCTAAAATAATGACAGCAACAGTGGCATTCTACTGCGTTTTCAGTTTTAAAAATCAAGCAGTTTTTCAGTTTTAAAAATCAAGCAATTAAGGAGACCAATTTGGAAACAAAAGCAGATTTTTCAGTTGTTGGAAGTAATGAGTGCAAGTTAAGAATTCATTATCCAACAGCTGGAACAGCAGTCTGATTCTGTCACTCTCTGCACTGAAGACTGAATCAAAAGGGAATTATTATGAAGTAGATGGCATGACACCTTGTTGTGGTCTTGAGGAGACCAGAGGAAACAATTATTGTGACTTCTTAGCTGTCCTATAGTCAGACTTGAAGTTTGTAATGCTATTTAAACCTCTCGAGAATGTTAAGCGTGAACTTCAAGTGCTGTGTTTTATTTTTAAAAGTATTTATATTCAGTTGTGTTAAGTATGTGATATTTACTTTCATTTTAAAAATAAACTTAATCCCCTTTCACTTCCAGAGGAGATTTTGGCCAGTGCACATAATTCTTCTTGGTTTTCACATCTCAGTATTCATAACCTTGCACATGTGGCTTGGGGAAAACACTGCGGTGTATGAAAAAGACCAAGCCCTTGTGAAGAAATCTCACTTGCAAATTAAAGCTTTGCTTTTATTGATCCAGCTGGTCAGGTGCATGCACCTGCCTGTGTTTACAGTTATTTGTTTTTTCAAATATTCATAAGTATTCATACCGTTGATGTGAATTTCTTACGCTCCATAAACAATGATTTCATATTATTTAATGCGCCTTTGTCCTTCATCTGCCTATAATACAAGGCATATGATAGTAATGTCCACATTAAAAAAGTCATTTTGTATTGCAGGAACACTGATTAGAAAGTAGTCTTTGACTGCAATCTTCAGCTTAGTCAGGCAGGATTTCTTCTTAAATCTTTTGGAGTACTTCAGTTATAATCTCTGAACAACTTTTAGCAGATGGCAGTGCAGTAATCCCATATGTACCAGGATCCCAGTGCCTGAGACTCCTTGTTCTCTCTCTCTTTTGGTGGGTACTTAAGATCATACCTCACTTCTGCCTGTCACTCTGCATGATGCTCCTGGCAAGCAAAGGTGGAATCTTTGTGGTCATCTTCTTGAAGGGCTAATGGAAGCTGCTTGTCCTTGGATCTGTCGTATGCATCATTTTGGATATGATGCACACTGGAAAAAGAGGGTTTAAGGATCTGAGTTATCTTTAAAATCTGGACTACTAAAAATCTTGCCTTCTATTCAGTTTATGGTAGAGAGTACTGCTTTACCTAAGTTGTGTATTAGCTGTGATACTTTCTTGTAAGAAAAGTTACTATTTTATTTGAAAATCTTATTAGTGAATGATTGCAAAGCTTGGTGTATGTGGTATGGTTTTGGTTTTAAAGCAGTTCATTCAAATGTAACACTAAATTCCCTCAACCACATTTTTTTTTCTTGATAGGTGGAAAAAATTAGATTTCTTCTCAGAAGTATTGATTTGGAAGACATAAAGGTTGGCACAGTAGAAGAGTTTCAAGGGCAGGAGTACATGGTTATCATCTTATCAACAGTGCGTAAATTTACTGTGGTACTATTGAGAATTTTTATGTGTCTAATTCTCTGTGTTTCATTTTTGATATAGGCCTTTAAAAATTTAGAAGCTATATTTTTGTCAGTCTATCACAGTATTTGGTAGCAGAGCTTATTAAGTGCATGCTTGTTTAGTTACTCTTCTCTTTAAAATATGGATTGTTAAAAATCTGTTGCTTTCTGTTTAAATTATGGTAGTAGTACTTCATACTTGCAGCTTGGAGGAAGAGTCCAGGATTTTCTCACTTTTTTTTTTTCCTTCCTGAGGGCAGTGGTATTGTACTTAGTTTCACAAGTGGTATGATGATCATCATCATACCATAGCTTTTCAGTCCACTATTAGAACTCCCTTAAAGTATTTCTAGGTATGTACTACACTCTTATTTATAAGACCTCATTATTTAGGTAATGAAAATTTTCTTTTTTCAAAGATAGGTTCAAGTATGGATGAAAAATGGGTAAAAAAATAATGAGTAATAGTTTTAGCACACTACTTGCTTTGGCTGTTTTTCCTATGCTAAGACAAAGCACACTGATGAGGCTACTGAAGAAGGCATACTGAAAGACACATTGTGAATCGTCATTCAGCTGAGTGGATTTTTGCAGTAAGGAAAAATTATGTTAAAGTTACACTGTGGTATGTTGTATTCTCATCATTTTATTTCTAAAACTATCCTTAATTTTAGGTGCGATCTCAGAAAATGGTAATTGATGATGAAAAACACTCTCTGGGCTTTCTCTGTAACCCAAAGAGATTTAACGTAGCAATTACTCGAGCAAAAGCTTTGCTGATTGTCGTGGGAAATCCTCACATTCTTGTGAAAGTAAGTTTTGAGTTTATATCTTTGAATTGCATATGTTATTTGCCACAGAAGTTGTATGATTTTGTGGTTAATCTGATGTGAGGAAGCATCAGAACATGTTAGGAACTTGTACATTGTCCTCAGTCTGCATTTGGGAATATCTGATCTCCGTGTGTTCAGTACGAACAGACAGTTCAGGCACACACACAGTAGATTTCCAAGTACAAGGGAAACCCTGCTCTGTGCATACAGACTCCTAGCTCCTTTTTGTCTCCAGCCTGGAGGCTCTGACCTCCTCTCAAGTTCTCCAGCAGCATGCAAGTCCATTAAGCATGTCCTGAATGACCTCACACAGTTAGGTTCTTCACAAAATGTAGTTGCATCACTTTAAGTGGAGGGTGGCAGAAGTGATTGTTCCCAATTAATGCAACAAGTGCCAGGGAGGAGGACTCCTTTTGGACTCATGCATGGTCCTTCCACAGGAATAAGTTCAGCTTGTCTTAATATCTCATTTTATGTCTGACAAACAACAAGGGAAACAGTGTTCCAGAAATGGTCTGAATGAAAATTTAATTCCCCCACACCTAACATGTAACTATGTAAGTGAGAGCAGCTGTAGGTACCTTCCTCACATATTGCACCATACTTGCACCATTTGTAGAGTTCTGTTTCTGGAAGAGATCCTATTAAATCTCTTACATTCATGTGCCATGTTAATTTGTTTGCAAATTCACTTTACAGAGCACCATGATTACAATTATATATTAATTTTCTCTTGTAGGATCCCTGTTTTTGTGCACTGTTAGAATACAGTTTAATGAACAAAGTTTATATAGGTTGTGACCTGCCCACAGAGCTGGATCACCTGCACAAGTAAGTGTCTGGTCTTCAGTTTAACCTTGCCAGATATTGATCAGTTTTCAGTATTTTTAGAGCTGGTGTCATTTGGAAGATTGATCAGTACAACAGCCTGGGTTACCATAGTAGGATTGGATTTTGCATTCCTAAGTAAACATTATGTAAACATAATGGTGTAATGTAACCCTGTTTTCTCCCATCCCATAAAAAAGTCTGAGCATTAATTATTAAATACAAGCTGTTGTTGACTTTGGTATTTTATGTATCCCCAAATGATAATGGCTTATTTGATCATCATTAAGGTGGAGGGTACAGCAGAAGTATTTAAGGGGATTTCTCTGTAGTTAAAAACAAAGTGCTTGAAATTTTAAATATGTTCCATCTGATAACATGTAATGAATACAGTGTTCAATGGGTATTATAGGGTTCAATGATTATATATAATCATCCTAGATTATACTATATTTTTTAATCAAAACTGTTGTTTATGGGAAAAGTAAGCAAGATTTTTATGTTACTCTCTTTAATTGGCAGGTGTGACTAGTTTTTTGGTATTCAAGATGCATTCAAGAGTTTGGTATTCATCTGTTTTGAAACTAAAAGCACTTATAAGAAATTTAGTCCTGAGCAGATCAAGCACTTTTTGTTCTCAGGGAGAGGCACATGTTCTGAAATGGATAGAAGTTTCTGCAAACAAGATTTTTTTTTTTCTTTTAAGAAGTGAAAAAATTGAAATTAATAGTGTAAAGTAGTAGTGGCACCTTATTAGCTTTTCCGTTTAAAGTGTGTATTAATGTGCCTCTACAAAGAACAGTATGCCTGAATCCTCCAGACTTCAGGAGAAAAGTATTGAAGGACTCCTACATCAGCTTTCCCATATTCCATAATTGTTTCAGCTTCTCAGTTTTCTCAGCCTTGTGTAGTGCCACCTAAAACTGGACTGTCCCAAGAACATAAATATGTGTCATTGTTGTGGGAGCATTACAGTAATATATGTTTGATGTGAACTGGAATGATACATTAAATATTTCCACTCAACTGATACTGAGTACCTTAAGCCAAAACCCTACTTCCAGATTTTAAGGCCTTTGTATATACAGCTGAGATCACACAGGGTGTTCTTGCTTTCCACTGCAGTTTAGCCATCTGCTGTGGTGCATGTCAGAGCAGTGCCTTAAGGGGTGGGTTAAAGAAAAAAAGAAAATTAAAACTGTTTTGCCTTCCTGTAAATGTGCTATAGAATAAAGTATTGTGTTTATTTTGGCAAAATTAAAACAAAACTACAGATCAGCAGTATTTCTGCTCTTGGCTTAATTTGGCACTGTGCTTTCCCATTAAACAGTATTTTTGTCTCTTCCTTGTCCTTTCCTTGGTGGTTAAGTCTTGCCAGGCAGCACTTCAGGAGTAGCACGACAATTAGACACTGTGTTTAAAAATTGCCAGTACAGCAAGATGGCTTTCTGTATCAAACAGGAGTGTGTTAGATAGGAGTATAGGCTACAGAGAAACAAAGGAAGCAGGGGAAAAAGATGGGAAGCTTCTGTTTGCCTTGTTTACAGTCCTTTCATGTCACTTGCATTCCTGGTATGAACTGTGCTTCTTTCCCTTGCAATGCACAATGTGCAGCTACTGTAATTTACCTGCACTCTTCTTAAGGAAAGGTGGTGGTATTGAATCTGCACATGGGTGCTAAAGGTGCTCTTGTAGCTGGTGGCTGAGGGAGCTGGGTGGTGCTTTGTGGCTTCTCAGTTCTTTCATAAAACCACACAGGTGATAATGCAAAGGGAGGTCCATGAGACATTCCCTGTGTGCTTGGGCATGTCTTTATTAGCACAGTAAAGCTAGAGCCCCCAAGATGATTTTGCTTCAATAAAAGTTGGGTATTTGGTGCTATTTTGTGAACAGAGAGAGCTCTCTATTAATGTGCCTTTTAGTGCAGTGATGCTTAGTGGAAGTGTGAGTTTTCATAAGAGATCCATGTATTCCTAACAATATGGCACTTCCCCATCCCTGGAAGTGTCCAAGGCCGGGCTGGATGGAGCTCTGAGCAAGCTGGTCTAGTGGAAGGTGTTCCTGTCCACAGAAGGGGGCATAGAACTAGATGATCTTTAAGGTCCCTTCCCACTCAAGCTATCCAATAATTCTGTGAGGCTCTGTCTGTCAAACAACAAAACATGTCCCTGTATGACTGTGGGAAATGAAATCTGTATTGTCTCACTCTTCACATGAGACTAAAAAAAATAGAATGAAAGTTTTATAAAACATCTCTCATTTGCCCCATCTCTGGATCAGAAAAGGGTTTAATCTGATAAATGAGTACCAGAGAGATGATGCCAGTCACTGACAGCTTGGAAAGTGATGGCTGTCACAATATATGTGTGTGTTTAGCTGCCAAAAGAGCAGTGAAGCTGCTCTAAGGGGAAAGGGGACACAGTGTTGTGCCTCAGAGTGAGACTTTTTAACCAACAGCATACCTTGTTGACACAAAGACAAAACTGCTCCAAAGGACAAGTGCTAATGGTGCAAAATTGTTATTTTAATTGGTCCTTGACAGCAGAGTGGCCCGGGGGCAAGGGAGGGTGGCAGGGCCTGCAGCATGACCTGGCAGAGGAGCCCAGCTGGAGCAAGGTGCAGGTCCTGCTGCACTGGAATGCCTGCCCTCGGCACAGAGCAGGTGGCCAGGCCAGCTGGGACAGAGAGCTGAGCCAAACCCATACAATGCCCTGGCAGCAGGGAGCAGGGAGGGCAGAAGCATGAAAATATGCATATTGTCAGCTCTTGGCATTTTACTGAAAACAGCTTTTGGGAAGTCAAGGGCCTTTGGTGGTTTCTGTTCTGTTTTTAAGAGCTGTGCCCTGGGCAGTGAAGAGGATGAGGTAGTGAGAGCAGAAGGGTAGTGAAAATCTCCCCTTTGGGTTCCTTTAAATTAATGAGCAAACTGCCCAGATGGCCTAAGTGAGGTAGAAGAAGAAATCCAACATAAACAATTTATTTAGACTGCCTAAAATGAAGACATCCTTTGTGTGGAACAGAATAGTGACCAAAAGGCATTTTCACCTTGCGGCATTCTGTTTTGGGAAGAGCTCTCTCTGCAGAGTGTTCAGGTCTTGCTGTGGAAAAGAACTGTGCCTGTAGCACTCCAGATGTGTATTTCCATCCTTGAAATAGCATGCTTGTTTTAACAGGTTCCCTATCTCTGCCACCAGTCCAACAGCCTGTGCAGAAAGGGCGGGTGCTGGCATGGTCAGAGCCAGTCAAGTTCAGTATGTGCTGTACTGTCATTTTTCTGGCAGGTGATGCAATTTCTTCTGTCCAAATTTCTGTAGTCTTGAGGTTGTGCTGGAGTTGCATCTTGGAAGACTTGACATTTATCAGATGTGGTGATTTTTAACTTTAGAGCCAAGGAATTGCTGGTAATAGAGTAGAAAATAGCTGCAGTTAACTTTCTCAGGATGATCATTTATTTTACTTAAGCCATCACCCATTTTTAGAAACAATTTTTTGACCAGTCTTCTGTCAGATTTCTTCATCTGAATAATACAATCAAGGGGGTTTTTAAGTGTGTTACACTAGGTACTGCTAGCCAGGGAATAGGTCATTCCAGATACATTCTGTCCTGTTTGAACTGAAAATGGTAACAGTAATATTATCCCTTTTTACTTTATTATATCTAGAATTTAAGTCTTAAAAATGATTGTGTCCTGCAACCATGTGTGGCCTCTATGGTAGTGTCCTGTACATGAACCTCATTTGTGTATGGAGACATTGCTACCACCACAGAAGAGTCTAGCAAGAGAAAACTTCAAAAACAGATTTTAAAAGAAAAAAAGGAACTCACAACAGATACACATGGAAAGAAACATGTAACAAAAAAAAAGGCTCAATTAATTTTTTACTGAATTTATTAATAGTAGAAATAAAAATAAATTCATTACAAGCAGATTAATGCCATGTTTTATATTACTGTGTAATCTTTACACAGATTAAGCTGCACATCTGCCTGGGATTGAAGTTAACAAGATTTGGTCTGGACTTAAAAGCCAATCTGTGTTGTCCTGCTGCCTGATTGTAGAGATACCCTAAAACAAGTTACCATTGTTTCCTCACCATGAGAAATGGAACAGTTCAGCATAGTTTCCCCTCTGTTTCCCATGCCCAAGTGTTTGTGTCACTCTTTGTACATCCAGGCCAGAGCAGAGTGCTGCCTTTAGTCATAGGCTGCTAAGGAGTAACTCTTGATAAGCATCAGCCTTGCACCTCCCACAGCTGAAGAAACAGTAGTGCAAGCCTGGTGACAGTGGTTAGAACTGCATGTTAATGTTCCAAACATGTTCCTTCTATAAATGATGTTTCAGAGAGTTTTAACAGTAAATTTTCCAGTGAACCATGTGGAAAATTCAACTTTTACCTCATAGCACTGTAGGTACATTTTTAAAATATCTCTTGAATGTGGTAAAGTGCTAAAGTGCTTTAAAATTGCATTCTCTCTCTTTACTTCTGTTTGTCCCCAGTGCATCAAACTCCTCATTATTTCCTACAAAATAAAATTACGTTTGCAATCCAGGAGCAACCTGTTCCAAAAATATCTATTTTAGTAATTCTTTGTGCTCTTACTGTAAAATGAATTTGCCATTTCTTTTCTTTTTTTTTTTTTTTTTTTTTTTTTTTTAATACCGGGAGTTTTTGCATTGTGCTTGTGGCTGGAAACCCATAGCACATCAGACCTTGCAATTCATAAGCCTGAGGTTGCAGAAACCTGTATTGAATAAATACAGATAAAATTTGTATCAGCAAGCCTTCTGCTGAATGATAAATCCACTCTTCAGGAACTTACCTCATGCAGTCTGAAGATAGGGCTTAGATACAAAGAAGTAAATTCACTCTTCTCAGCAATGCCATTGAAATTCAGATGTTTTCCTAGACAGGGCTGAGTACTCCATGCCCAAAGAGGAATGTAATTTAAATTTTTGTTTTTGTCCACCTTGTGGACTTTACAGAGTTTTTGAGGCTGTAGATCTGTTTAAGAGTTTCAACTTTTTTTTTTTCCTTGCCTCCTTTTTGTGTAATAGGTAGGTATGTATGCAGAAAGTCCCACAACATGTGAGGAGGAGGTTAATGCAGTACCCTGAGTGCCCTTATGTAAACATGGACAACTAATGTACGTTAAAAGTGTGAATCAACTCACCATTTCCATACAGCCAGGCCTGTGCAGATGTGAATTTACTCACCTCATGTTAAAGACTGGGAAATGCAAAAATGTTTAAGAACATGAGGAATGAAACCATCCCAGATTCTCTTTAAAGGTTATCCCAAACATTAGCTTCTAAAAAATATCTGTGTACTGTTTGCCCCTAGAAAATTAACTTCTTTCTTATTGAGTATTTTTGTTACTTTGAAATGCAGCTGCTTTATGCAGTGCAGATACAGGCTCTGTGTAAGGACATTCTCCACTCTCCACTGACTGCAAAGCTAAAAATCCCATTAAAAGCCCAGGAGGTAATATGATTTTTTTTTTTTTCATGTTCACAAAGTGCACTGTCTCTACATCAGTGTATATTTGCATGCATGGGGCTGAAAACCTTTCAGTGATGACTTTCAGTCAGGTACACATTGAATCTCTTTCTCCCCTTTTACCATGATATTACAGTTTCAGTGTGAATTTTTGAGCAGCTGCTGCCTATTTTGTGGTACATGTAAGCAGTGTCTTGATCCATTAACACCTCAGTGGTTCCATTAGCACAGATAGAATGAGACAGGTACCTCAGCAATTATTCCACCTCACTGACGTCTTGTGCATCAGCAGTGCCTGGGGAGGCACATACCTTCCTGTCCCTGGCAGAGCAGGGAATTACTGCACAGCCTCTGCAGAGCCACAGAAGTGTTGTGTTTAAGAAACCATGGAGCCTGATCCAGCTCCTGCTGCCAGCAGTTCCATGCTGTGTATTTCAGATTTTGGTAGTCACTTCTGCTTTCCACTGTGTGATACAGAGTAAGTTTTATACAGCACCTTGTTTCTTTCTTCAGAAAATAGGCTTTTGCAGGTTTTACTAGTTGACATTCCTTTAACACTATTTTCTGGTTTTATTTCTTTTACTAATCAAAATTGTGTATTTGTCTTACATTCACATAAGAAAATACACTGGGATCTAATATCATAAAGACTAATTTTCCTTTGTGGCTTTAGAATCATGATGAACAGCTACAGCTCA